ACTGTAAGTGTTCTGTCTTCACTGTCTTTGATTCATTTGGAATATAAAGTAGCAGGACAAAATTCCCAGCATCAAGGTTCTTTAAAGGCTTACATGCATGGCATCAAGAGCATTTTTACTGTGTTGATCATGTAGTTCACATGGTGGATTCCAGCAAGGGATTAGCCTACAGCCAGCTGAGTGTGGAAATCAGCCTTGGACAGACCTATGTGGAGAAGGGATTTCTTCATTTGAGGAGAACAGAGTAAACTGCCTTCAGTACCACTGAGACTGGGACAAAGTCAATGCCTCCATCCATCTCTCCAGCAATGATTACATTTGCAGTATTTAAAAGTGGTTATGCAAATGAGACTTAGTCTACTATCACACATGACGTGACATCAACCCACGCTGTAAACTGGTCTTTCGTTAAAAATAAAATTACTTGCTGAACCATCGAAGCAAGGGAGAATCCATCACTTTCGAAGCTTATGAAGTTGTTTGAAAATGAAAAGAAATTGTAATAGGCAATAGTGCAATCTTCCATGCATTTTTTTTCTCTCCCTCTTGCTGGTACACGTACACTGAAAAATGTACTCATTATACATCTTGCCTGAACAGTCAGACAACAGGAACTTCTTTGAACTAACAAAATGACTCATGTGGGCAAAAACATTGGCTGTATGCCCGAGCTTTTGTAAATAGTAATTCACTATCATTGAATATGACTTCTTTTTCTAAATTCTTATTTTAGACAGTACATTTACAAGTGGGATAAATAGAAAGTGAAACTTTTTTTTCTAAGAGCATTCTAGGTTATTCAGCTGGTCAAAAAGCAGTGATAATGAAAGGTATGTGATTCATACTTAGATAGGATTGTGCTATTAATGTTTATGGTAGCAAATTTCTTAATGTGTTGGTATAAAATATGTTACTATAAATGTTAAATGTTTGGTGTTTGCCTCTAACATTGTCCCAAGTAAAGATTCATGGTGACCTTCTATGCATGGCTTGTGCAACCCATGTTCAGTAATGCGTCTATTCTGTCCAATATCTAATAAGGTAGTGATCCTTCAATGTGACTGGGTCAAAATCCTGGAAGTCCCTTCCTAACAACATTGTGGGTCTACCTACAACACGTAGACTGCAGCATTCATGAAGGCAGCTCACAACTAGAAGGATTATTAGGGACGGGGACTTAATGCTGGCCAGTCAGTGACACCCATGTGATATTTTTAAAATGGACCCCATTTGTTCAGAATTGAATATCTTGTCTTTCACTTGTGTCATCAACAGCAGTTCTGCCATCACTTCAAAACGGAACGAAACACTTGGTGAGTTGAAGCTAGATTTGAATCATTCAGCTGCTTTATTTACAAAGTAACTATCAAACGTATGCCATTTCCTTGTGTCAGTCATCTCTCAACTGGTAACACCCTCATTCCTGAATTACTCCAAGATGTGAGCATGCAATCCTGAGTTAACATTCCAGATCATTATTCAGGGACTGCTACTCTAATGGAGGTGTGAACTACCAAATTAAAAATTAAACTCAGGGCCTATCTGTCCTCTCAGATGGATGTAAAAGGTCCTATGGGCATATTTGAAGATGAGCTGGGAGATGGTGCCTTAATCAATAGTTACTCAGTCATCACAAAAACAGATTATTTTGTCTTTATCACATTGCTGTTTTAGGAAGCTGGCCACACTTCAAAAGGCACTTCTTTGGCTACAAAACGCTTTGAAACATCTAGAGCTTATGAAAAGCTCCATAGAAAATGCAAGTCTGTTCTTTTCATTTAACTTAATTTCACATCTCTCCTCAAAAATAATGTAATCAGCCATTTTTAAGAAGCTTTTTCTTTTAAGATCCAGATTTCTTTCAAAGCAATTATAACTTATGAATTTGGCTTTGTGCCTTTTTGATACCCACACTTTTCCCCTAAAACCTAAAACCCACCACCCATGTTTCTTTTCCTAATCTCTCATGATCTGTGCCACTTAATTCACTGTGGAGCAGGACAAGACACGCTCATATTTCTTCTTACAGTAGGTACACTGAGAGAGCTCTGTGATCAGCAACCTGGAGGAAGGAGATAGCTGAGTAAAGTCATGGCAGTCTGACATTTTGAAGATCAGTAAATTCTTTTATACTGACTGTGTGACATGAAGCCCACAAATAAATAACCTCTCAGTCATTCCTATCCTCCATTACAAAGGTCTTAGATAATAGTATATGGGAGAGTCTGAACAAACTGCTAACTCTGAATGAGCTAAAACCCTTAAGTTCTTTGAGAAATGTGAAACATCCCAGTAGTGATGGCATACCAGCCAAATTATTTCATCCCCGTGAGAACTCATCAGCCAGAATCTGCTGGAGGAGTCAGAGAATTTGCTTCTGGCCATCAGCATGTCTGAATCCAGTGGGAACAGCATAATCATCCTAAACTAGAAACATAGGGAGAAAATTAGAAATTAGCGACCCAAGTCGCTGCTGAATGTGGAGCACAAAATTCTGTCAACTGTGTAGGTTCTTTCTCAAGTTGGTGATTCACTCTAATTTGACCTGTGCTGTAGCCAGCAGGAAGATCTTTGAGAGTGTCTTGCTATTCAGTATACAACTGTCAATGTGCAGGATAGCAGCATGGGCACCTGCCTTATTAATCTGGACCAGAAGAAGGCCATTGACGGAATATCGCACACTTAAATGATGGATGTGCTCTTTAAAATGGGGTTTGGGAGGGAATCTGCAATTGGATACAGCTGCTCTGCACAAATAGTAGTGCAGTTTCAATCAATTTATGGGAATCGGAAGGGTTTCTGTTCAAATCCAGAGTCAGGCAGGATTTCCTTCGAAGCCAAGATAAATCAAGGCAAGGCCTATTTGGGAACTGAGCTGACCAATGGATCTGAAAGGAGCAAGTAGCCATTGTCAAACAAAAACTGAGCATGTGAGAATGATGCTCCCTCTCCATTGCAGGCAAGAACCTGATCATGAGGTGAAAAGCACTGTCGATACTTGGCTTAGATCTGGTCCCTTCTCATTCTTGCACTGTGGTGATCACCCTAGTCAGCTTATGTTTTACCCGAAGGCTGAAGATGGACCCTGTTCACAGGGACAAGATGTACAAACCTCTAGATAAAGGGGCAAGAAGTATATCTAACATAGCCCTTATCCTTATGGCCATCTTTTGGGTGCAGCTGTATCAAACTGCGTGTAGACCCTTCGTCTGCAAGCACCAAATGTCTATATTCTGAGGTTCTAACTATCTTCATAATTGCAAAGGATGGGTCTGGCTATATTATTGCGGAAACCTCCAACTAGTTGAACTGTGTCATATGGAGTAGTTCATGCAGAAAAACACCTTTAACTGCATGTTGTATCAGGCATTGGTCAATGTCCATGAGACTGTGTTGGAAGAGGATATGGTAGATGCTGTTGGTTAGTTCCTTGAGCAGACTGTCAAAGTAATTTGCCAGAACTTATAAACAGGCGCCAAAACGTAGCTTAGCTGGTGGTGAAATAGACCCTTTCAGATCTTTTCTCCCTTCCCAAAGTCTCGTGTCTTTTCATGTTGCCTTTGAGGTGGCTGCGTTGGGGAAGAAACTGTTATCCAATTCCTTGTGGAATGTGTCTTTATGAAAAGTATCTGGAGGGAAGTGAAAATTTTTTGTTGAGGTTCAATCCAAGCAGCTCTGAGACTCTATGCTGTATGGACAGTTCCCAGGAAAGCTCACAGAGATAAAAATCAACTGGAGAAACACTATGAAAAATACTCTTTGGTGTGATTGAAACTTGCTTGTCTTCCAGTGTGTGGAGCTACCCTTGACCAAAAGTTGTAGTCTGGCACATTCCAAAGTTTAGGTCTATGTTCAAGGGACGCTTGACGCAACCGTCACAGAGGTACAATGGGAAAAGGTCGCTGCCTATGGCCTTTCAGTCATTATACACTGAGAGGCTTGAAACTATAGAATTCCTCTGGCTGCGTGCTTTACAAAGAATGCATTGTGAATCGAACATTGAAAGTGTATTGAGGCAATTCAGAGTGAACTTGATGTATACAGGATTTTTTAATCTCTTGCACCTTCTGTAATTTCCAATTTGAAATGTTTTTGGTTTTGGGCTCTACACCTGATATGGAATGCAGCATGTAAATATTAAGACAATTACAATCATAATAAGTGGAACATGCTTTCTTTTTGTTTCCTGTCTGTTTTCTTCTTCTCTTTGAAAGATAATCAATTGGGGTTACTTTCAGACAATTGCCTATAACTAGAATTTGTTGTTTCTTCTAAGTAGCAGAACTAGTCCGCAATTCAGTAAGTACAGAAATCATTGACCTTATTTCTTGGCAATTTAACAGCCTACGTAATAAATTACTTGCACACTTTACCAAATTTTAACAGATGTGAATAATGATCTATGGTGTTACTGATCGGATTTGTCGTGACATATCTTGAAAACGATGCTGCAATCGTTATCACATTGAAACAGGCCAGTATTTGCTGCATCATGGACTTTGCCAAAAGCTAAAAATGAACCATGCAAGTTTATTTCTTTTCACAGGGTAATCCTTGTAGAAAGGTAAAAGCGTGGCAATATTCCCACAAATATGATGAGTCTTGTAAATTGTGATGACAAACATTTTCGAGAGGAAAGGAAGCAGTTTATTGCAGCTTGCCATGTTTTGTACGGAGAGATAATTGCATTGATTGTATTTTTGATGCATTGGGATGTGAAAATCCTTGATAGTTGTAAACAATCTTGCTCTACTGTTAAGGCAACATTCAGCTTCCTGCATCATCTTATTTTGTAACTGATATGGACCGAAGGCTGATAAAGAGAAATATGCTGAAGACCATTTTATGTCGAACCTGCATTGTCGGACCGGGGAGACACAGCAGGCTATTTGTTAGAGGAGCAGTGAAGTGACAGTGGGTTGTTTGTCAGTCACTGCAGGGCTGGGACCTCATTGGCTAGGCTATTCTTCCGCCCAGTTCGTAGTTTGACAGTCGATTGAATTTGTGCTGGGACTGGAAGCTAATCATTAAAAGGCGCTGCTTACAATAAATGCTGTCTCACACCTCGCACTTTCGCCCCTTTAGCAGCAAGTGCTGCTGATTCACGTCTGAGAGACACTTCGACAAGGTAAGCGCTGCCTGCTTTCTATGCTGCTGGAAATCTTTTCCTCGTTTCGTATGCAGAGATCGTGTTCACGCAAGAAGCGGCAGCGGCTAACAACCGTCAGCCGGGAGCTGATTATTGATGCTGATCTTTTCTTCTTTATTTTGGGGGGAGCCTGATCCCGGCGCGGGTTTAGGCTTCATCCCTCTCCATCCAGCAGGATCCGGCTGATGGTGGTTGCCGTGCCTGGGAAAGGGGCGGACTGTGAGACCTGTCCCCTCAGCACATCAGTTTGGTTTCAATTTTTGTTGTTAGAGTGAACGGAGAATTCTGGCTAAGCTCCTCTGATGAATTGAAATTGCTGCTAGCTACTGATGAAGCCATTTAATACGTTTCCTCGGGCCAAACATGTTGAATTAGTATAGTCCTGATCAGATCTAGGCAATCTTCAGTGTTCATGTGCTAACATACGCTTTAAAGAGACTTGATTTATGCACAGGATTGTTTGTTTTAAGTGTTCTACCAAACATATATCTCAGGCTTCATGGAAATGCTCGCCAGAGCACTGTTACACTAAAGTTCGAGCTGTCCAAGTCTTCGTGCAAAGTGCCAAGTGTCCAGCCTTCTTGAGATTGCTTACAAGGCTAAAACATCAAAACATCAGATAAAACCTCCATGGAGATAGGAGGGTGCAACTAATTCTTCCTTCAAAAGGACGAATTGCTTGCCTTCTGGTGTGTGGAGCTACCCTTGACCAAAAGTTGTAGTCTGGCCCATATCCCTCCAGACCTTGTTTTTCTTAGCATGTCTGGACCCCACTTTGTACATAAAGAAGACTTAATTTTTTTTCCTCTTTTTGCTCCTATCTTCTCCAATTCCAAATCTTGTCCATCAGAACCACTTCTTCACCCCAGTCTTCCTTGGTCGCATCCATCCAAGCCAACTTAATTAGAGAGTTTGCAGACTCTCAGATCCTACAGCACAATATCTAAGTAAGAGTGAGAGATGGATACAATGTGGGTTCACATTATAACTGATCTCCTCCCTTTCAAAATCTCAATCATTTCACCCTCGTCAAAAACACATCCATCCACTCTCCTTGCCAACAGTCAATCTAATCTTCTTTTCTTCCTCAGAAACAGTGAACTGAATTTTTTAGCAGCCCTTTCAAGATGGGCTGGGAGGGGAAAACTTTATAAAATGACATTGGGATAGATATTTGGTGCCTTCCTGCTGCTGTGAGATATTCTCAATGGTGGAAGGAGAAGCCCTGTAGCTGCATGTCTCCATTCAACGGGCAGTCAATTAAACTGTTTATGTGGCTAAGCAAAGACCATTCTTCCTCCTCTAGCACTGGGAAAAATGTGGGTCCTCTTGTTGTGCAGTAATGATGTCCCTACACTTGGACCAAGAGGCCTGGGTTCAAGTCCCACCTGCTCAAGAGGTACATCTCTGAACAGGCTGATTAGAAAAATAGGTTAAATAAAGAAAAACTATTAATTCCACCTTTGTAATGTTATCTTCCTCATCTGCTGCAAAAACATTTATCCATGCCTTTATCACTACACACTCAACTATCCCAATGTTTTTCCCACTTGCCTTCTAACTGCCACAATCTATAAATATTACCTTATCCAGATGTGGTTGCTCATATATTAAGAGTTAGAGTTTTATTTTCAGAAACCTTCAATTGGCTTGTTTTCCTGCTTCCATACCATTTAACTCTGGGGTCTGTTTGGCTCCCACATAATCTCATAGAGTCATCAAGTCACACAGCATGGAAACAGAACCTTCCATCAACTAGTCCACGCTGACCATATTCCCAAACAAAACTAGTCCCACTTTCCTGCGTGTGGCCCATATCCCTCCAGACCTTTCATGTACTTATCCAAAATGTATTTTAAATGTTGTAACTGTACCTGCATCCTCTGGCAGTTCATTCCACATACAAACCACTCTCTGTGTAAAAGAGATGCCACTCATGTCCTTTTTAAATCTTTCTCATCTCTCCTTCGAAATATCCCCTCTAGTTTTGAACTTCCCCACCCTAGAAAAAAGACACTTGCTATTCACCTTATCTACACTCCTCATGATATTATAAACCTCAATAAGATCACCCCTCAACCTCCAATGAAAAGAGTCCCAGTTTATCCAGGCTATTTTTATAACTTATACCCTCCGTTCCCAGCAATATCCTGTCTACATGCTACCTTTAGCTAAATTCATGCAAAGGCACAAGTTTGCTTTTACATGGGTTGGTTAGCTTATTTGGCTGAATAGCTGGTTTGTCAATGCAAAGTGATGCCAATGGTATGGGTTCAATTCCAGCACTGGCTGAGGTTACCATGAAGAGCTGTCCTTTTCAACCTCTCCCCTAAGGTTAAACCATAACCATTCATCTCTCTAATGAGACAGCAGCACTCTGGGACTATGGTGACTACTTTTTCACTGACAATGCCCAACCCTGCCTTATCACTACCCCTGGACTCCTCTGCTGTTGTAAAATTATCAGTCTGCTTATCTGACATCCAGAACTGGATAAGAAGAGAGATAACAAGGTGCAGAGCTGGATGAACACAGAAGGGTCTAGGCCCGAAACGTCAGCTTTCCTGCTCCTCTGATGCTGCTTGGCCTGCTGTGTTCATCCAGCTCTGCACCTTGTTATCTCAGATTCTCCAGCATCTGCAGTTCCTGCTATCTCTGGATAAGAAGAAATTTCTTTCAATTAAATATTGGGAAAGTTGAAGTCATTGTGTTTGGTTCCTGCTCCAAACTCCAATTCCTAGATACAAGTTCCATCCCAGTCACTGACAATGTCCGAGATCACGTCAGTCTGTTCAGAACTGTGTGTCATATTTGATCCTGTGATGAATGCCTAAACTCATATATACCAGCTCTCAAAACCATCTTTTCCCACCTCCATCAGATCACTCAACTTCTCCCTTGTCTCACTCATCTGCTCCTAAGAACCTCATCTACAGTTGTGTCACCTCTAGACTTGATTACTGAAACACACTGTTGGTTGGTCTTCCACATTACCCCGTGTAAACGTGAAGTCATCCAAAACCCAGCTGCCCTTTCCTTAACTCAAGGCAAATCCTGTTGCCATATCACTGCTGCGTTTATTGATCTTCATTTACTTCTAATAAAGCAATGTCTTGATTTTGAAATTCTTAACTTTTTGTTTTCAGATCCCTCTGTAGCCTTGCCCTTCCCTGCCTCTGTAATCTTTTCCAGCATCACAATCTTCCAAGATATGCAGCAGCTAGCACACATACATTTAGCATTAGTACAAGCTACACTCACAGGCTAAGTGCATTGCCAGCTGTTCAGCCATCACCAGCCAAACATATTGCAACACGTTCATTGGCACAATTCCCCTTCTCTTCCAGGAGAAGGTACCAAAATAAGGCAGCAAGAGCTCTCTGGAAAGGGACAAGCATGCCTCCTTGTCCTCATCCCAATGGAGGAAATATTTATAGCCATTGTTGCAATGTGCATTAGTAAGATCAGGATCAATCTGTCCTCCAAGAGATCAATATGATTTTTATCCCACACTCTCTTCTGATTTACAAGATGCTGATGGTACAATCATGCCTCTTCTACAGGTTAAACCTTGTCCTTGCCAGCCCACCCTCCCAAACCTGTCTAGACCACCTGTCTAAACCTTGTATTTTTTTCCTTTCTAATACCCAAAAGGTTCAATCCCTTCAGGCAGTGAAGTAACATTAAGAAGAGTAACAATGAATGCACACTACCAGCACTTTAGTTCACACTCAAAGCCATCAGTTCAGATACTGACACTGTGCTTCTTAGGGAATGGACTAGAGTTAGAATCTGCATGTCGCACCTGTTAATAATGAGTGCACTGCAGTTGGGTAGGTGACAGAAGATAATGCAGGTATCGGCTTGTCAAAGGGAGAGAACTTGGAAATGGGATGCCCTGTAGACCACACAGATATGAATTCTGATGTGGAAGTATGCAAAAGAAGGCTGATGAATATACATTGTAAAATGCTTGGTGAAGTGTCAGACATGCCAGAAAGCCTGTGCCAACGTCACAGATAAAGGAGAAGTTCAGCACCAACATTGTGCAAGGCTTTGGGGACCATCCTTTTTCAGCATGATAATGAAGACCAATTAAACCAATTGTAATGTAACATCTGCTGGTCAATGTCACAGCGTGCGTTGTGGCAAAAGCAACACCTAGAGACTGAGTATTGCAGGGGATGCTCAGATGATCACTGTGAGCAAAGGAGCTGTAGAATAGCCCACCATTCTGTCCCCCAAGAGATCAATATGATGGTTAAAGAGCTACTTCTTTGGAATAGCAGTGGCTCAATAGAGTTCTTTCATGTTGCCCTCTCTCAGGAAGACAGCAGTAAATCATTAATTCCCGCTACCCATCCCAGATAGTGCAGTCTGCAGTCAGGCACAGCAGGGCCAGAGTTGATCAATGTCATAGAGTCATAGAGTCATGCAGCATGTAAACAGACCCTTCGGTCCAACCAGTCCACACTGAACATAATCCCAAACTAACCTAGTCCCACTTGCTTGCTCCTGGCCTATATCCCTCCAAACCTTTCCAATTTGCTTACTTATCCAAATGTCTTTTAAACGTTATGATTGTACCCGCACCCACCACTTCCTCAGCAAGTTCATTCCACACGCAGACCACCTTCTGTGTAAAAAACTTGCCCCCATGTCTTTTTTAACTCTCCTCTCACCTTAAAAATGTGCCGCCTGGTCTTGAAATCCTAAGGAAAAGACAACTACCATTAACTCTATCTATTCCTCTCATTATTTTATAAACTTCCATAAGGTCACCTCTCAACCTCCTACGCTTCAGTGGAAAAACTCCTAGCCTATCCAGCCTTTCTTTATAACCTTCCATGCCCAGCAACATGCTGGTACATCTCTTCTGAACCCTCTCCAGCTTGATAATATCATCATGCAAGGCTATCTACAGTGTCCCCACTGAAAGTCAACAGCTTTCAGTCATGGTCCAGTACTGAGGTAGCATT